AATTGAAAAACTCTCTACTAGTACGAGCTGTGAAAATAAATAAAAATAAAAATAGAAAAACTAGCCGCACTGTGGTGGGCACCTATAGTCCCAGCCACTCAGGAGACTGAGGCAAAAGGACTGCTCGAGCCCAAGAGTTTGAGGTTGCCGTGAGCTATGACCATAGCTATGTTGCACTCTACCCAGGGCAACAGAGTGAGACTCTGTCTCTAAACAAACAACAACAACAAAAAATGCAAAGACATAGCCAATTGCGCAATATCAGTGGAACTGTGACAAATGACAGAACTGCTAAATGAAGACAAAAATGTAACAACAGGGACAGCCAGCCTATCATTTTCCACTGGTCTTGACTTCCAACATCCCACTTTAAGCTTTCAATATTCTCATGACCAATATGACTTAAACATGTACAGATCCTCTTGGACTTCCTTACTTGCTCTTGGCCTCACAACCAAACACTACACTCAGTGCTAATTAGAAGCACTTTCCAATTCAGTTTTCCACATGTGATCAATCCTTTGTTTTGAATACTTATGGCACTAACTTGAACTCTATAAAAAGCCTTGTAAGATTCATAAGGCCGGCTTGGCGCCTGTGGCTCAAGTGGCTAAGGCACCAGCCACATACATCTAAGGTGGCAGGTTCAAATCCAGCCCAGGCCCACCAAACAATGATGGCCACAACCAAAAAATAGCCAGGCGTTGTGGCGGGTGCCTGTGGTGCCTTGGGAGGCTAGGCAGGAGACTCGATTGAGCCCAGGAGTTGGAGGTTGCTGTGAGCTGTGATGCCACAGCACTCTACCCAGGGGAACAGCTTGAGGCTCTGTCTCAAAAAAAAAAAAAAAGATTCATAAGGCCATGGCCAGGGATGGTGGCTCACACCTGTAATCCCAGCACTTTGGAAAGCTAAGGGGGAGGATCATTTAAGGCCAGGAGTTCAAGACCAGGCTAGGCAATACAGTGAGACACCATCTCTACACAAAACAGAAAAATTGGCTGGGTATGATGGCATGTGCCAGTAGTCCAGCTCCTTGACAGACTAAGGTGGGAAGATCAGGAGGTCAAGGCTACCATGAGCTGTTATCAATCGCACTGCTGCAGTAAGCCTGGGTGACAGAGTAAGACCCTATCTCTAAAATAAATTAATAAAATAAAACTTTATAAAAGAGATTAATACAGCCATATAAAAAATAAATTATACTCAACATTATCAATAGGTACTTGCAAATTTTTCTATGCCTTCCAACGTAAATATATATCCCATTCCTACTGGTCTACAGCTAAATAGCTCAGACCCCCAACCCTACTTATAGATGGCAACATAAGGAATAGTCCTCCCATGGCTATGGTTATCAATTTTATTTTTTTAACTCTGGAGACAGTGGTTCACACCTGTAATCCCAGCACTTGAGAGGCTGAGGCAGGGGGACTACCTGAGCGCACCAATTTGAGACCAACTTGAGCAAGAGCGAGACCCTGTCTCTAAAAAATAGCCAACCACTGTGGCAGACACCTGTAGTCCCAGCTACCTGGAAGGCCGACGCAAAAGAACCACTTGAACCTAAGAGTTTGAGGTTGCTGTGAGCTAAAACGCCACAGTACCCCACCAAAGGGGTGTGGGGTATATGACTCTGTCTCAAAAAAAAAATGTATTTTTTTATGGTTATCAATTTTATAACCCAAGAAAACCCAGTCAAAACTTCCAAGAAATAAACTGTTATTTTGTTATTTAATTCATTAAATGAGCTTTGTAAGTACTTTATCCAAATGCCACTATGAAGTTGGTTCTCACAGAATCAATTATCTAACCTGTTTTTCTATGGCACATTATATAAAACATGTACACTTTTTTTTTTTTTTTTTGAGACAGAGCCTCAAGCTGTCCCCCTGGGTAGAGTGCCGTGGCATTACAGCTCACAGCATCCTCCAACTCCTGGGCTCAAGCGAGTCTCCTGCCTCTGCCTCCCAAGTAGCTGGGACCACAGGTGCCCGCCACAACGCCCGGCTATTTTTTGGTTGCAGCCGTCATTGTTGTTTGGCGGGTCCAGGCTGGGGATTCGAACCCGCCACCATAGGTGTACGTGGCTGGCGCTTTAGCAGGTTGAGCTATAGGCGCTGAGCCAACATATACACTTTAAAAACCAAAATTTCTAAGCAAAAGTCATTTCCCCCAAAAGAGATGTATGGTTAATTTAAAATCATTCACATAGGCCGGGTATGGTGGCTCATGCCTGTCATCATAGCACACTGGGAGGCTGAGGCAGGTGGATTGCTTGAGCTCAAGAAAGTTTGAGACCAGTCTGAACAAAAGCAAGACCCTGTCTCTACTAAAAATAGAAAAAAAACTAAGGTAAGAGAATTGCTTGAGCCTGAGTTGGAGGTTGCTGTGAGCTATGACACTACAGCATTCTACCCAGGGTGACAGCTTAAGACTCTGTCTCAAAATAAATTAATTAAATAAAATCATTCACATAATGCAGGTTATCTAGTTTAAAGGTTTTGTGAGACTGAAATTTATTTTGCTATGATTCACATGTTATTTTTAGCTTTAGTTAATAGGTACTCTTTTCTCAAAGAATAACACTGACTTGGAGACAACTCTAAAGACAGTCTAACTCCACATTTGGAGTTAGTTGTGGCAGTTTCATACCTTGGCTACATGTATGTTATATTATCTATATCATCAGAATATAGACAAGAGCCTCACTAACATGTGTAAGTACAAATTAGAATCAGTAATTCAGTAGATGATATAAACATCTACTGAAGCTCAGTAACTACCTATCTGAACAGTATAAACATTCGATTTCTCCTCTGAAAGATAATCTGAACAGAAAGCATAACATTCAAGTGATTTTCCACATCTGACTGAAGAATGCACCAGCAAAAGAAAGAGCGAAAGCAAAAAGAGAAAGAAGTTGGGTGGCACCTGTGGCTCAGTTGGGTGGTGTTGGCCCCATATACCGAGGGTGGAGGGTTCAAACCTGGCCCCGGCCAAACAGCAACAACAACAAAAAAAAAAATAGCCAGGCATTGTGGAGGCTTGCTATAGCCCCAGCTACTTGGGAGGCTGAGGCAAGAGAATTGGTTAAGCCCAAGAGCTGGAGGTTGCTGTGAGTTGTGATGCCACAGCACTCTACCGAGGGTGACAAAGTGAGACTCTGTCCCTAAAAAAGAGAGAGAGAAAGAAGTTTCTGACAATGGGCGTCTGGGCAGAAAAAAAGAAAAAGAGGTCCAGCTCACATGTGTAATCCTAGCACTCTGGGAGGCCAAGACTAGAGGATTGCTTGAGGCCTGGAGTTTGAGATCAGCCCAAGAGTGAGACCCTGTCTCCACTAAAAACAGAAAAATTAGCCAAGGTGCACAACACCTGTAGTCCCTGCTACTCAGAAGGCTGAGGCAGGATTGTTTGAACCCAAGAGTTTGAGGCTGCAGTGAGCTATGATGATGCCTCTGCACTGTAGCTCAGGGTGACACCACCAGACTCTGTCTCATGAAAGGGAGAGGAGGGGAGGGGAGGGGAGGAGAGGAAAGAAAAGAAAAGAAAAAAGGAAGAGCTAACAAGGAAAGAGAGAGCCAGAGCATTTCCAAAAGCTTCTAGTCTAACACCCTATGACTAGCTGAGTGACCCTTGCCCTGAAAAACCCCTAAGGATGAAGCAAACAAAAGAGAAGACAAAATAAAAGTCAAATGCTTTATTCCAGACAAAGAGCAGGTGACAGATTCTTTCCTTGACAGAAAAAATCTATTACTAGCCAAATACTATACAGTAGAAATCACTCTAAGGGCAGAAAACATTAAGTGTCCTCCTAATCTCCAGCATCCTTGTTTCCAAGCCCTGAGTGGTTTCCCTTTAGGACTCCATGTGAAAGAGCACAGTAGTATCTCTCTCAACCACTGGCAGAGGAGTCACTGCTAACTTTCCACTGTGTGAGACTGACATGCTGGCCTTAATCAATCTTTGATGTTCCAAAATAAGAGTACTGATGAAAGATGTGGGCATCTATCAGATGCCTAAGTGCCAGCAGGCATCCGTAGTGAGCTCAGAAAAGGCTGTGAGACTCTAGCCCAGATTACGCTAGCTGGAAGAGTACACACGAATCATGGATGACAGGCAAGACTGAAGACAGCAGAGCTACTCCAGGGAGGACAGTGAATGGTGTAGACTGTGTGTATGTTTGGGCTTAACCTGGGCATTCCTACTCAGTGATCCCTCCTGCCCCCACCCCATGCCATTTTTCCTCCAGTCTCCTTTCTGTCCTCATCTTGCACTAGGTCTTAAACACCCACACACCCGAGTTCTGCTCACCCTTCTCACTGTCCTGGCAGGGTTCCAACTTCCTGGAAACCTCAGGTGCCCACCAGAATTGGGCTCAGAACACTTCCAATTATGTCTGCACCCCGCCAAATCTCTTCCCCCCTCACCCCAACATCCTCTCTGCCCTATCCCTCCCTCACCCTCCTGGGTCCTGTCGTCTCATCCCCACCCCAGGTCTAGTCTCCTGCCAGATCAGCTCCCCACCCAGGACTCTGCTTTCTTCTCTACTACCTCCATCGGGGTAGCTCCTGCTCCCGCCCCTCTCCCTGCCCAGCACCCTACTAGGCCTCTCACCATCTGGTCTCCGGGTTCGTCTCCTGTCCCCTGCCCACCACAGTCCCCTGCTCAGTGTAGGCCTCCCTAGGGCACTGGGCTCCCACCCGGAGCGGCTCAGGTTCTCCCCCCACCCACGGGCCCGAGATCCCTCCCACGTCAGGAGCCCTTTCCTCGGTCCTGACAGGCACAAGTCGGCTCCTCAGACATATCCGTTAGAGCCAGCTTCCCAGCCCGCGTCTTGAAGGGTTCTGACCAAGAGAGCACCCCGCCGACTCCTCATAGCGCGGCTTCCTCCGGGCCTGGGGTCGGGGTCAGGGTCAGGTTAGGGTCCAGCGCCAAGACAGGGCGCCGGGGGCCGGTGAGGGGCCAAGCCAGGTGGGTGGCCGGCGCGGCGAGGCCTTTACCTGTGCTGCGGGTTGGCGTCCCCCTCTGAGCTGTAGTAGTTACTCGCCGCCATTTTCGCGTCTTACACGAGCTCCGTCAAGCGGTGACATCACCTGCCCTGCTCCCGAGCCGCGAACTGGACCCAGCCCCCAGTGCGAAGCTCCCGCTTTCCAGCTTCTTTGCTCTGGGGGGCTCTGTTTGGAGCCCCGCCCAGTGGCGAGGCCCCGCCTTCTAGTCAGAGCCCCGCCCACTTCCACTCAGGTGTGCGTGTCTTATTCAAGTAGCGCCTCCTTGAAGTCCCGCTCCTTATTCGGAGCCCCGCCTTTACTTTACTCAGTTGTGGGGGTCTTCGAAAGGTGATGTTGGGAAGGATCTCTGAGACTTTCTACTCAGGAGCTGATCCTTCAGTCCTGCAGGCTCCTCAGGACCACGTGAGTGAGCCCATCTGCATGGGGCTCCTCTCGCAGCGACCCACAGGAACTGTATTAATGGGCCGCGGCATTAGGAAAGTTGAGAGCCCCTGCTAGGGGATGGGTTTTTTTTTTGGCCCAGTCAGGTGGGTTTGAGAGCCCTGCTGACATGGTCGGGTGGATGAGAGTTGTGCTGACATGGCCAACTTATGCTTGTCCCTTTAGCATCCTCTGGGTATCAGCCATTATGTGGAGTTTCTAAAGGCTCATGCAGTGCCCCAAATTCAAATATTCAGTGCCTCTAAATTGGTGATTCTGAACCAGGGGCAATTTGTTAAGGGAGGTTTGGGAATGTATAGAGACCTTTGTGGTTGTCGTGAATTAGGGGATGCTGCTGCTGCTGTCATTGAGAGGATGGAGGCTAGGGATACTACTCGGCACCCTGCAGTGCCCCAGGACCACCCCGCCACAGAGAGTGATGTGGCCTGGCATGTTCACAGTGTTGTTTCTAAATGTGGCTTTCTTTTTTTCTTTTTTTTGAGACAGAGCCTCAAGCTTTCACCCTGGGTAGAGTGCTGTGGCATCACAGAGCTCACAGCACCTCCAACTCTTAAGCAATTCTCTTGCCTCAGCCTCCCAAGTACCTGGGACTACAGGTGCCCACCACAATGCCTGGCCATTTTTTGGTCATAGCTGTCATTGTTGTTTGGCGAGCCCAGGCTGGATTTGAACCCGCCAGCTCTGGTGTATGTGGCTGGGGCCTTAGCCACTTGAGCTACAGGTGCCAAGCCAATGTGTCTGGTTTTTTTTTTTTTTTTTTTTGGAGACAGAGCCTCAAGCTGTCCCCCTGGGTAGAGTGCTGTGACATCACAGCTCACAGCAACCTCCAACTCCTAGGCTCAAGCGAGTCTCCTGCCTCAGCCTCCCAAGTAGCTGGGACTACAGGCACTCACCACAACGCATGGCTATTTTTTGGTTACAGCTGTCATTGCTGTTTTGGCAGGCCCGGGCTGGATTCAAACCCACTACCTTAGGTGTATGTGGCTGGCGCCTTAGCCACTTGAGCCACAGGCGCCGAGCGAATGTGTCTGGTTTTAAAAGCTATTTAATGAGCCACTTATTAGAGTCTGGGCCATTTGGAGAATGCAGCAGTAAACAAAACTGACATCGTACCAGCCCTATGGGAACTTAGAAGCAGGGAGGCAGATCTTAACCAAACTTTTATTACAATCTTGTATGGTACTTTAAAAGTTAATAACAACTTTATTGAGGTATACTTCACACACAATTCACCCATTTAAGTGTGCAGTTCAATATATTTTGGTATATTCATGGAGTTGTGCAAGAATTACCCCTGTCAAATTCCAGAACATTTTTATTATCCTAAAAAGAAATCCCATATCCATTACAAGTCACTCACCATTCCTCCTTCCCTTCAGTCCCTGGCAACCACTAATCAACTTCCTGTCTTTGTGGATTCACCTGTCCTGAACATTTCATACAAATGGAATCCCACACTAGGTGGCCTTTGTGTCTGGCTTCTTTCACTGAGCACAAGGTCCATCCATATTGTAGCCTGTGTCAGGGTTTTCTTCCTCGTATTGTCCGGGTGTAGTGGCTCACACCTGTAATCCCAACTACTCAGGAGACTGAGGTGGGAGGATCACTTGAACCCAGGAATTAGAGGTTGCCTTGTGCCACTGCACTTGAGCCTGGGTGATAGAGTGAGACCCCGCCTCTAAAGAAAGAAAAAAAGTCTTGTCTTATTAACTCTTGAAGAAGGGTTTCACATTATTTGAGTTTTTGATAATGAAGTATTACAGGAGTTAAAGTAAAAAGTGCATGGGCTAACTATTGTAGAGTGGTGTTCCTTTGCCTTATTATGAGCAGATACCAAGCTAGTTATTTCTTAATCAGACACTATGGAGAGTCCAGGGTGCCAAGGGAAGCCACATTTCGTGATTTAGTAGATGGCATACTTCCATCTGTGTCGTCATGACCATGCATGGCCACTAGGAATGGTCTGGCAGGTCTGGCCAATGTAGCCTCCCCTGCCATGCCCTGGCTAAAGTCCAGTGTGATAATTACACGTGGCCTCCCTCCAAGTCCCTGCAGTTCTAATTAGATAATGAAGACTGCATCTTCGTTACCAAAGTACACCTGTTGTAGTGTTTTCTCTCAGTTGCATAATATCTTTTTTCCTATTATTTATCACAAGCCTTGTCCTAATTGCATTCCATGCACAATCTGATCTAGTCCTCACAATAGCCCTCAGAAGTAGATACACTCAGTTCTCATAAGTTCTGCTCTATGAAGTCGCTGTAAATACCAAATCTGAGAATACTGACCATCACTCTTAAGGGAAACAGAGAAATAGGTTCCAGTGAGATGCTAGTCACCACATTTTTGCCAACTGCTCAAAACATGACCTCATTTTATGTCTTTCTGTTTCAAGACTTCTTTTGTAGCCTGTGTGTGGTGGTTCATGCCTGTAATCCGAGCACTTTGGGAGACCAAGGCAGGAGGATAGCTTGAGACCAGGAGTTCAAGACCAGCCTGGACAACATAGCAAAATCCCTGTCTCTACAACAATGGAAAAATAAGCCAGGCATGGTGGTGTACCCCTGTAGTTCCAGCTACTCAGGAGGCTAAGACAGGAGGATCGAGTAAGCCCTGAAATTCAAGGCTGAAATGAACTATAATGATGACACTTCACTCTAGCTCAGAGGACAGAGTGAGACCCCCACCCTGAAACAAAGAAAGTAAGAGAGAGAAAGAGAGAGGGAGGAAGGAAAGGAAGCAGAGAGAGAGAGAGAAGTGAATGCAATTAGAGGCATAATAATGAAAAAAAACTCAAAATTTTAAACATATGTTTTCAATACATATGGTGCCTAGGTGTCCACCAGAAAAGTGATAGCAATTGCTGCCCACCAGTAGCACAGAGTGCCCATTTTCACAATTGCATTTTAGTATAAATTTTATCAAATATAATGTACAAAAAATATGTGTAATGGATAAATCTTTTCAACATATGGTGCCAGGTCAACTGTATATATACATGCAAAGAATGAATTTACACCCCCATGTTATATGTAGGGATCATGTACAAAAATTAACCCCAAATGGGGCAGTGCCTGTGGCTCAAGGAGTAGGGTGCCGGCCTCATATGCTGAGGGTGGTGGGTTCAAACCCAGCCCTCGCCAAAAACAAAATAAAACTACAAAATAAACATCAATGCTAAAAAAAAAAAAAAGACAAAAAAAATTAACCGAAAACGAATCAGAGACCTAAACATAAGAGCTAAAAGTATAAAAACCTGAAAAGAAAATATACAACTAAATCTCCCTGATGTTCAGTGAGACAGCAGTATCTTAAGATATGATACCTAAAGCCCAAATAACAAATGAAAAATATGACCAGGTACAGTGGATCATGACTATAATCCTAGCACTCTGGGAGGCCATGGCAGGTGGATTGCTTGAGCTCAGGAATTCTGGGCCAGCCTGAGCAAAAGTGAGACCCTGTCTCTACTAAAAATAGAAAAAACTAGCCAGGCATGGTGGAAGGAATATGTGGTCCCAGCTACTGAGGAGGCTGAGGCAAGAGAATCTCTTGAGCCCAAGAGACTAAGGCTGCTGTGAGCAATTTGATGCCATGGCACTCTACCCAGGGTGAGAGTGAGACTCTTTCTCAAAAAAAAAAAAAAAAAATTATAAAAAAAACAAGACAACTTAAAAATGGGGAAAAGATATGAATAGACATTTCTGCAAAGAAGGTATGCAAATGGCTGATAAGCACATTGAAAGACACTCAACATTATTTGTTATTAGAAAATGGTAAGCAAAAACCACAATGAGATACCACTGCATACTTTCTAGGATAGGTTTTTTTTTTTTAAGTTGAAAAATAAGTCCATGTGCAGTAGCTCACACCTGTAATTCTAGCACTCTCAGAGGCTGAGGCAGGTGGATTCATTGAGCTCAGAAGTTTGAGACAAGCCTGAGCAAGAGTGAGATCCTGTCTCTACCAAAAATGAAAAACCGAGGTAAGAGGATTGCTTGAGCCCAAGGGTTTGAGGTTTCTTTGATCTATGATGCCACGGCACTCTACCAAGGGCAACAAAGTGAGACTCTGTCTTAAAAGAGAAAAAAATAGAAAATTAACAAGTATTGGTGAGGATGTGGAGAAACTGGAACACTTGTGTGCGGCTGGTGGGAATGTAACATGGCGCAGCCACAGTGGAAAACGGTCGTGAAGTCCCTCAAAAAGTTAGACATAGAATTACTGCAGGACCCAGCAATTCTACTTCTAGATATCTACCCAAAAGAACTGAAAACTGATATACAATCGAGTACATGAACATACATGCTCATGGCAGCACTATTGACAAATAGCAAAAAGGTAGAAACAGCCTCAAATGTCTGCCCATGGGTGGATGGATGAACACAACCCTGTCCATCCACACACTGGAATATCACTCAGCCATGAAAAGGAAGGAGGCGCTGACACAGGCTACAATAAACCTTGAGGACATGCTCAGTGACAGAAGCGACACAGAAGGACAAATACTATCTGATTCCACTCATAGAAGGTCCCTAGAGTCCTCAAGTCACAGAGACAGAAAGTTGAATGTTGGGTCCCAGGGACTGGGAAGTGGGTAGGA